CACCACATTGGCTTACACTTCTGTCAACAATTAGTTGTCTTTCACGTGTGGGTTTATTTCTAGACTCTCTCTTCACTCTGTTGATCTATTTGTCTCTTTTATGCTAAAACAATGGTCTTTTGATTACTGTTGTTTCATAATAATTCTTGAAAGCAGTAGCGTTTGCCCTCCAAGTTTGTTTTTCCTTTTTAGAGTTGTTTTGGCTAGACTAGATCCTTTGTATTTCCATGTGACTTCTATAAATTTATTTATTTTTTATTTTTGGCTGCGTTGGGTCTTTGTTGCCACATGTGGGCTATCTCTAGTTGTGGTGAGCGGGGGCTACTCCTCGCTGTGGTGCGCAGGCTTTCCATTGCGGTGGCCTCTCCTGTTGTGGAGCATGGGCTCTAGGCGTGCGGACTTCAGTAGTTGTGGCACGTGGGCTCAGTAGCTGTGGCTCGCGGGCCCCAGAGCGTAGGCTCAGTAGTCGTGGCGCACGGGCTTAGTTGCTTCGCAGCATGCAGGGTCTTCCGGGACCAGGGCTCGAACCTGTGTCCCCTGCACCAGCAGGGCAGGCAGACTCTTAGCCACTGCACCACCAGGGAAGTCCCTCCATGTGACTTTTAGAATCAGTTTGTTAATTTCTATTTAAAAAAAAGCCTGCTGAGGGCTTCCCTGGTGGCTCAGTGGTTGAGAGTCCGCCTGCTAACGCAGGGGACACAGGTTCGTGCCCCTGTCCGGGAAGATCCCACATACCGCGGAGCGGCTGGGCCGGTGAGCCATGGCCACTGAGCTTGCGCGTCCGGAGCCTGTGCTGCGCAATGGGAGAGGCCACAACAGTGAGAGGCCTGCGTACCGCAAAAAAAGAAAAAAAAAAGCCTGCTGGGATTTTGATTGGGATTGCATTGAATCTATAGATAAATTTGGGGGAGAATTGACTTTTTAATAGTATTAAGTGTTCTGATCCATGAATGAGGTATATCTCTTCCTTTATTTAGGTGTTTTAAAATTTCTCTCAGCAATATTTTGGGTTTTTTTCAGAGTATAGGTCTCTCTCTTAATATAATACGATATGATATAATATAGTATAGTATAAAACTTATTTCCCAACTACCCACTTTGCTTCATAATCTGTTTTAAGTTAGGCTCCTACCTCCACACACACTTAAAATGGTGAGAGAGTTGGGAGAGAATGCCATTCCTACCCAAATAATGAAGACAAGCCCAATAACTTGCCGATTTCATGGGTGGTGGTCTGCCCAGGAAGCAATACGTGTTAATCCAAAGTGACCTTCTAGAGGGCTCCTTATATGCAATCAAGTGCTTTTTTAAAAAGTTGCTTAATTATTTGTCACTCTTATCTCCTTGTGTGTGTTTTGTTGGGAAATAAGTAATTAATACCTTTTCATCCTTATTTGGTAATGTCTGTGTCTAGTTAGATGTGGTTTTTATGGTTATGCTCTCTTTAATCCATTCCGGCATTTGACCCGTTTTAACTGATCAGGAGTAGAATGGTTATCAACTCCTTCTGTTCTTTTAAAATGGGTTAAGTTTGGATATGCATTTGCGAAGAACAAACGAAATGTCCTAAAAGTGCACAGGATCTGAAATTTGGTAGACACTCAGGTGTTTGCATATTTATAGCATTTTAAGCGCATTGTGTAGCAGTGCGTATCAAATGCTGCTGATGCTCATACAGGTTACAGAAGGCTTCCTGGGGTTATATTTGCCGTGCAGTTAAGGAGGTCTGGGGAGGGAGGGATTTCAGTCAAAAGGAGCAGCACGTGCAGAGAACCTGTAAGAATAAGCAAGGGCCTCGCACGGTTGTCGGATAAGGTGCCAGACTAAGATAGAGCAGGAGCAAAGGGAAATAGTAGGTAAAGCCGGAAAGTTAATTTGAGATCAGCTGTGAAGAATGTGTATACATGCTGCAAATGTGATTATCTTCTAAGTAATTGTCCAGTAATGGAGGGTTTGGGGTGAGGATGAACATAATCCTTAATTTTTCAACTAGTTCGTTTGGAATTATGCTGAATTCGGAAAATAATAACAGTGGCGACCATTTAGTTGTGTCTTGTTTCTACAGGTGATGCTGACGAGTGGCAATGAGAGTGGTAGACAGGGCGTGTGGTTAGACACTCTGCAGGAAGAAGAGTGGTTCTTGGAGTGATTTTTGATCTCTCTTCGGAGGAGCCAATAAAACTTGGTTCATGGGGCAAGTGAGCTAAATGCTTGCCTCCCGTGATAAGGCACACATAAGCCATCATACTTTTGAGGCATAGTGGCAGGGAACGTTTATTGCTAGAAGAAAGATTTAATGGAAGGATTTACCTGCAGTAGTTTAGAGAGAGGAAAGGACTGCTGTTACCTTACTTGGTAATAGTCACTATTCACTGTTTCATCAAAAGTAAAAGGCTGGTAAGGTGCGACTTCCTGAGTATGTACTTGACAGTAAATGGAGTAGGATATTTTTAAGGAAAACTGTCATTAGGTTTAAATACTGCTGTACACATTGAAGTATCTTTGTTACTCTATTTAGAACTTGCTTCTATCAAATGGAGCTCTGAAGTTACTAAATTTTAAACGCCCATTCAATAAACACTTTGTGTTGTTGATGGTTCCATTGGTTTGTGAGAGCAGGTGGCCATTGTGTGTCTTCTATGTGCTGTGACTTGTAAAACTTAAGGAATATGTCTTGTTACCAGTCTCTTCCAACTCTGCTATTAGTATGTTGCTAGCTAGGATCAGCTATCAGTTCAGCTCACAAAGGGTGGCCATAAATCAAACCGTTAGTGGAGGCATGGACTCTGCAGGTTAGGCTGCGGAGGGCATGATGCTGGGCTGTCAGTGCTGGACAGGTGCATGGGGAGTGGGTGGCTTTCCTCCATCTTTTCTGTCCGATGCCTTCGCTGTTCTTTGGGAAAGAGAACAGAGAAGAAGTCCATGAGTTCATGTGACAAAGGCTGTAAAGGAAGTGCAGGCCGTCCCTTGAACACAAGATCAGAATTATTAGAGAATTCAGAACTGTTGAACAATTTGACCAGTTCTTCAAAATTTAGACATGTGTACTTTGAACAGATAAGTGAGGGAGATTATCATACTGATTTGACACTGTGCTGTGTTTAGCCTTCTCGTATTTTGTTCATGTTGTAATATTGTGTAAGAGTTGAGAACTTTCAACAGTGCTTTTTACCATAAACTGTTTTACTTAAACATGTAATTGCTGGTAAGTTCCATAGAAATGAATAGTGATCACAATTAATGCCTTAAAAATTAAAGGCTATTAAATATAAATTGTGTCTATTACCATGTGAGAGAATAATAAATCTCTCAGAAATGTAAGGTCTTGATTAAGGAGTCAAAAAAAGATGCGTTTTCTTTGTTTCAAAATAGTTTAAAATTATTTACTACATCTTATGACTGCAACCATTTCTTTTTCTCTCTTTTTAAAATGTGTCTATCAAAATGTAAAAAAGCAGAAGGAAGGAAAAGTGGATTGGAGAGTAGGAGAGAAAATAAAATTAAATGATAAGACAGGAATTCTGCTGAGTTAATACTCAGGGAGTATGAGATAAGTAATATGTCTTTACTGCCTGAGGCTTAGCTATACAAAACATAATAGTGGGAGTACAGACCTAAAGCTTGAAGTGACCAACTGAAAAAAAAGATTTAAAGTAGACATTCTTTTGCAAGTATGTTTTTTGGCTACTAATTGATGTATACTTATCACTTACGAAAATATCATAAGATTTGCTTCACATGCAATTCTAAAGAACTTTGCTATTTTATAATATGAATAAAAAGTAGCTTCATCTCCCCCCTGAAAAGTTACTCCAGGCCTTATGTATTTATTGTATAATTGAGGAACATGGAAAAATATAACAGCAAAAATATAATATTTACAAAACTTTTTGATATCCTCAAAACAAATTGTTAGGAACTGGTATGGTTCTATTGAAACCCAGCTGCTTTAAGAGGTATTTAGGAAATAAGGCTTTATAATAAGTTGAATTGGTCTAAAAGTCAGTGTAATGACTGGTAATGTTAGTATTTGATAATGTAATATGAACTTAGCTCTTGTTCTGTTAGCTTTCAGAATAAACTGAATGTAAAAGAAGTGGACCTTTTCCCGTGTCAAAACAGTAGTTACAAAAATGTAAAGGCAGATCCATAAGGCTGTTGCTGGTTTCAAAAGGGAGATGGACAGAGGGAGGGAGACCAAGATAGGGAGGTGGGGAGAGAGGGAAGGAGGGAGAGAAACAGAGGGGCGAAGGGAGGCAGGGAGGGAGGAGACACAGGGAGCGAGAACTGACCCAGGTCTTGTTGCTGCTTCAGGACGGTGTCTGCCATGGTCCACGCCAGCTTCTCACCTCCTCTCTGAGGCACTAACATGATGTAGATGTTGTGTGTGAGATTTTGTAAGTGATTACAGTGCACTAGATGCTAGAGAGACAATTTAAGAATTTACACAGTGTACCATGTGGAAGCATCACACTTTGTGTACATCTCTAGACCTTAGTTTTCAGTCCTGACCTGTGTCTGTAAAGCTACTAGTGGAGGGTGATTTTACATGTAATTTTCTTCGTTTCTTTTTTCTGTCAGTTATGTGCCAATCAGTGCCTCCAAAACATTAATGTAAGGATTTTACATCTACATGTTACTCAGCTTCGGTCATCAAATTATTTTATTTAGTGATATTTTTGATCATCCGTAACTTGACTCAGACCTGAAATAATGGCAGATGTGGGAAGAACTTTCCAGATGGAATCCTCTTCCCCACTCTCGCACGTCTTTTATTGGGGGATAGTTAATTGTATTTGGGAGTTCACTAGGAGAAGTAAATTTTCAGCGACTGTGTCTATCTGAAATAAATTTATTTTGAAAGTATAAGTATAGATAAATTTCTAAAGTGTTATTTTTTTCTCCCAAAGTTATTTCTAAAGTATTATTTATCAACTGAAAGTTTAACTCTGATGTGCTATTATTTCCTTGAGTTGATTATACTTCTTCTTTTTTTTAAGGTAAAGTGCAAGTTAAGAGTTCAGACATACAAGTTGGAGACCTCATCATAGTGGAAAAGGTTGATGCATTTTTAATATCTTTTAGACATGTATATGCCAGTTATGAACATTTAGCCTGATTGCAAGTAACTTTTGAATCTGAAGGAAATTGTTTGAGACATGTATTTTAAATCTTAACATCTTTGTGTAAGGTTTGATATATGTGAAGAAAAAAATACAGGTTTTTGTGTAGTCTGTTTTGCTAAAGTACGTTTCAGTGTGTGTAGGTAGTCATATTTTGTCTAAAATAAGACATGTTAACTGTTTATTGTTGCATTATCAGAATTATATCTTTTGACCAAAGAATTACATTAGTTAGAACCTATTTATAATGTTTCAGTTTCTAGAGCTTCTTTTTATAGACAGATATATGTAATTATTGGATATTAATTCTTATGGCTTAAAAACTTAACGAGGGGGCTTCGCTGGTGGCGCAGTGGTTGAGAGTCCGCCTGCCGATGCAGGGGACACAGGTTCGTGCCCCGGTCCGGGAAGATCCCACATGCCGCGGAGCGGCTGGGCCCGTGAGCCATGGCCGCTGAGCCTGCGGGTCCGGAGCCTGTGCTCCGCAAGGGGAGAGGCCACAACAGTGAGAGGCCCGCGTACCGCAAAAAAACCCCAAACAAACGAACAAAAAAAAAACAACTTAATGAGGGAAAGGTAAATGGAAACAAGAGGATTAGAAAGAAAAAGTTTAGGTCAATGTAGGAAGAAGCCATTTTAAAAACCCCACAGTGGTCAGAGGTGGCTGTTGGCAGGCTGCTACTGGCCCGGAGTCTGGAGGCCCGGGCTGTCTGCCTTTGCGGAGAAGCGTTTCTGCCCGCACAGCCTTCCTGAGTAACAGTGACTGAGGGCATAGTCTTTTTGTTTTTCCTTTTTTTAAGGCTCTAGAACAACATTTTAAAAAATATAGAATGAGAGGTTTTCATAAGGCCTCTTACAGAGGAGTGTGAGCCCCTGGTACCAGCTGATAGCCACATGGGGATCCATGCGAACATACCCATCCTGAGCCGCCCGTGGGGAGGTTGAGTGAGAGCCTTCCTCCTCAGGAGGAAAGCGGTCTTCATCTCATTGCAGTAAAAATCTGTACACAGAGAACGCTTCGGGCTGTGTTTGTCGGATTTTACGGAAAGGAGAAAATTAAACATACGGATTTGCAACATATTTACGTAGTATTCAGTTATATGGATACTGTAAGTTACTAATTTTTGATCCATTGTTAGATTTTCGATGGTTTCTCTTTTCTGCTGTGAGAAGTGCTATAATGAACATTCTGGTACATACATCCTTGCAGGACTCTATAGGATAAATGCTGACAAGAGGGATGGCTGAGCCATATGTTAGTCACATAAATTTTGATGCAATTTTTAAGAAACAGCAACCTTTGTTTTCTCAGGTTTCTGTGGTCAGGAATCTGGATGCAGCCTAGCTGCATCTCCTGGCTCTTGGTCCCCCTTAAGGCTCTCAGTCAAGTTGTGTCAAGGTGTCAGTCCAGTAGCCATCGCCTCCAAGTTCCACGGGGGTGGAGCTGATGCCAGTCTCACTCTTGGGGTTGTTGGCAGGACTTGGTGCCTCTTTGGACTCAGGGCCTCAGTTCTACGAGCTTTAGGCCTGTGGCCACGCTCATTCCTGGATACATGGGCCTCTCCACCGGGCAGCCCACCGCCGGCCTGCCAGCAGGAGGGGTAAAGAGAGGGTGTGAGTGCCAGCAGAAGGGTTGCACAGTCTCTGAGACTTAGACTCCGGAGTGGTGCCCCAACACTTTTTGTTTTCCTCTCGACTTTTAGGAGGACATCTTGTGTCTGTTGTGTTGAAGGCTAGGGTAGAATCTCTCTGTGAATCAGATGAGTACTGTTTGGCCTTTTCATTCTTTCATCTCTTATTTCCCCCTTACCTTTCCTATTGACCCTTTTTTTCCCTTACCTTTGCTGTTTAGTTTGATGTAGCAGTACACTCACCTTCCTGTTTTCCCTCAGTCCTCCCATTTTTACTGAGTAACAGGTGCACCCTTCTTGGCCATCTCATTGGTCATACAGGTAGATGTGAAAGAGAGATCTACATCTGTGTCTGGCTGTTCCTCTTCAGTGTCTCTCTGGCCTCACAGGTGTCTTCTCCATCAGTAAGAAAGATTGGTGAGGGACATAGGCCTCTGTAGACATCCAGGTAAAGGTTTACGTTTGATGTGGAGCTGCACCTCTTTGTGTTTGTTTGTTATTTCAGTGTCCAGTGGATAGCACGTTGTGGATGACGCACCAGTGTTACGTATATGTGAGCATGTGTGTGGTATCCTGTGCTACTCTGAAATTTAAAGATTTGCTAGCAGAGCTAGAGGGAGGACTTCTAAAATGTTTTCGCTAGCCTTAAGGAAGCACTGCTGCGTACTAAAAAATAGGGGTGGCACCACTTGCCTGATTTAGCTTTTTATATTGCCAATTGTACTTTCATTTTCATATGAAAATTTTTCATATATTTTAATTCCCTGGAAAACATTGAGTATTCTGAAGTTTGATAACATAGTTTCCAGTAACTACTGGGAAATGATAAATTTTTAGTAGTAGGTTCATGGTATTTGTCAAACCAATTTTGTGATTTTTGTAGTGATAAAAGGTTTTTTTCTTGCCAGTTGATATAATCGTCATAAGGAAATAGCAGAGATCTGGTAGCAAATGGCTTTGTCCTTCTACTTTTTTTTTTTTTTTTTTTTTTTTGCGGTACGCGGGCCTCTCACAATTGTGGCGTCTCCCGTTGCGGAGCACAGGCTCCGGACGCGCAGGCTCAGCGGCCATGGCTCACGGGCCCAGCCACTCCACGGCATGTGGGATCTTCCTGGACCAGGGCACGAACCCGTGTCCCCTGCATCGGCGGGCGGACTCTCAACCACTGCGCCACCAGGGAAGCCCATATTTCTCTTTTATTTGACCATATTCCTATTTATAAATTAATGTTTGGATATTTCCATGGTGCATTTTATGTTATAGGATAGTTGTAATTTTTTATCTTAACATGGAATTAAAATTAGTACATCGATATTCACTTTATGGGTACTTAAAGGAATAATGCTCATCAGCTTTGGCTCCGTGTTATAGATGTCAGGAGCCGTGGAACATGGGAGAGCAGCAGCCTGGGACAGAAAGTGGAAAGAGGATGATGTGGCCTTCAGTGTTCACTGCGTCTAGGTTTCAACTCCTAGTTCTCCAGTTTCAAATTCAGCCTAGGAGAAGTATGTGTTTGACATGTATCTGGAAATTGGGAGGGTAGGACCGTTCAGAGTCAAGGTCAGATGATCCTTTACGCATGCAAGGTGAAGCAAGAAATTCCAAAGATTATCTCCCAGCTTAATAAGGAAACCTGAACAGTAACTGAATTCTTACACAGATGTATGTATCAAAATCTCAGCAAGGTTTTTCCTTCGTTCGTTTGTTTTGGTTTTAAAGACAAAATAAGATTTTTCTAAAACTGATTTGGCAAGGCACAGGCCCTAACATGGCAAAAACAACCTTGACAAGGAGAATAAAGTGAAAAGAGTCACTCTCCTAATGTGAAGGCATACTTCCTACGATATTAAGTAACATGGGGACAGAAGAAGGGTAGAAACAAAGATAATGAAACATCAATGGAGAACCCGGAAATAGACCCACCCAAATATGCTCAAGTGATCTTTGACAAAGTGCAAAAGCAATTAAAATGGAGGATGGATAGCCTTTCAACAAAACAGGCTGGAACTAGTGGACATCCATGGGTAAAAAATGAACCATAATCTAAATGTCACACCTTATATAGATATTAAATCAAAGTGGACCAGGGACTTAAATATATAATGTAAAACTGTAAAACTTTTAGAATAAAACAGGAGAAAATATTCAGAATCTAGGGTAGGAAAATAGTTCTTAGACTTGACACCAAAAGCACAATGCATACAAGGGTGAAATTGATAGATTGCATCATTAAAATTAAAAATTTGTGCTTTGTGAAAGAACATGTGAATATGGTGGAAAAACAGACTGGGAGAAAGTATTTGTAAACCATATATCCACAAAGGTTTGTATCTAGAATATGTAAAAATGCTAAATACTCAACAGTAAAAAAAAAATCAAACTAGAAAATGGGCAAAAAAAAAATAAACATTTAGCCAAAGAAGACATACAGATAGAAAATAAGCATATGAAACGTTATTCAACATCATTAGTTATCTGGAAATGCAAATGAAAATACAGTGAAATATCACTACACATATAGCAGAATGGCTACAATGAAAACGGATGACAGCACAAATGCTGGCAGTGACACGAAGACGGTGGATCACATGCAGTTCATGTGGGGATATCAAATGTTACAGCTATTCTGGAAAATCATTAGACAGTCTGTTAAAACACTGAGCATACAACTATCATTTGACCCAGAAGTTGAACTTTTGGACCTTTATCACAGGTAAATATTAATTTAGATTGGCACAAAAGCTTGAACATGAGTGTTTATACCTGCATTATTCATGATAGCCCAAAATCAGAAACAGTTCAGATATCCTGAACGGGTCATGGTCAAAGAAACTGCTGTACATTATACCATGGTAATTTCATATTAAGAAAACACAGGTCCCTGCTCCTATATTGCTGAGTCTTGAGAGGAGGGAAAAATAAAAATATCCAATAATTATTTTGAACTTTCTAGTTTACTTATTAATGCCTCATAGAAAATAAAACAGGATAAGGGAATAAAGTGTAGTGGTCTAAAATTAAGAAAAAAATTCCATGTATGATAGTATCAAAGGAATAAAATACTTATAAATAAAATCATGGTTAAGAATAAACTTAACAAAAGAACAAAACTTGTACTTTGAAAACTACAAAACATTGTTAAAATACAGTAAAGAAGACCTGGATAAACAGAACGACGTCCCATGTTCATGGATTGGAAGTATTCATATGTTAAAATGGCAGTACTCCCAAACTGATCTACAGGTTCAGTGCAGCCCCTCTTAACATCCCAGCTGACTTCTTTGCAGAAATTGACAAGCTGATTCAAAATTCATATGGAAATACAAGAGATTCAGAATAGCCAAAGCAGATTTTAAAAATGTGAACAAAATTGGCATATTCACACTTCTCCATTTCAGAACTTTCTACAAAGTTAACATTAATCAGGACAGTATGGAATTGGCATAAATTAAACATCGAGAGTCCAGAAAAAAAGCCTCAAATTTCTGGTTAACAGATTTTCAACAAGGGTGCCTAGAAAATTCAGTGGGATGGGGCTGTGTGTGGGTGGGTGCTTATTTTTGACCCAATACTGATTATGAGAGTCTTCATTTTGTTGTGTGCAGCTGTAATTCATTCATTTTGTGGTTACATAGTATGCCTTGTATCCATTCTACTGTTGGTGGGTATTTGGGTTGCTTCTAAGTTTTGCCTGTTAGGATTGATACATCTGAGTCGTACTTGACCACGTCTTCTGGCTCACATGTGCACACATTGCTGCTGCATGTGTACTGAGGAGTGGACTTGTTGGATTTTGGGGTGAGTGTGTATGTTGCACTTGAGTACTTACTGCAAATGATTTTGCAAAGTGATGTATCAAATTATACTCAGATCGACAGTGAGTAAGAGTTCCCATTCCTTGATGTTTGCCAACACTTGGCATTGCCAACCTTTTAAATTTACCATTTCCAAATTGTACATAGTGGTTGTGGTTTTAATGTGCATTTCTGTAAAGACTAACAAAGTCGGACACCTTTTCATATGATTTTGGATATTTTTCTCATTTGGGAAAAGCCTGTGAGAATCTCTTACTGTTTTTCTTCAGAGTTATCCTTTCTTAACAGTTTGCAGGCCTTCAAGTACTCTGGATGGGAGTCCTTTATTAGTTTTATGTTGTGAATATCTTTTCCTTCCTAGTGTGCTTTGTGGAACAGAGATGCTTAATGAATTCAATATATTATCATTCAAAGAAAAATTCTAATGAAGTCAACCTTATTAATCTTTTCATCTGTAATAAGTTTTTTTTAAAATTTGTGGTGGTAGGGGGAAGGAGTCTTGTTTAAGAAATCTCTTCCTACCAAAAAGTCATGAAAATATTCTTCTGTATTATCTTTTAGGTTTTATTGTTTTGACTTTGACATTTTAAAAAAATTTATTTATTTATTTTTGGCTGCGTTGGGTCTTTGGTGCGGTGAGTGGGGGCTCCTCTTCATCACGGTGTGCGGACTTCTCACTGCGGTGGCTTCTCTTGTTGCGGAGCACGGGCTCTAGGCGCCCAGGCTTCAGTAGTTGTGGCACATGGGCTCAGTAGTTGTGGCTCGCAGCCTCTAGAGCTCAGGTTCTGTAGTTGTGGCGCACGGGCTTAGTTGCTCCGCAGCATGTGGGATCTTCCCGGACCAGGGCTCGAACCTGTGTCCCCTGCATTGGCAGGCGGATTCTTAACCACTGTGCCACCAGGGGAGTCCCTGACTTTGACATTTAGAAGTATAATTCGTTTGGAATAGATTTTCGTTTTTCGATTGAAGTAGAGGCCAGGTATTATCTCTCCTCATTGCCCATGGGTATCTAGTTTTCTCAGCACTGTTTATTGAAAAGATGTCTGCAGTGCCAACTTTCTCATAAATCTGGTGTCCATGGATGTGTGGGCCGACTTCTGGATTCTCTGCTTTTACATTAATATAATCATCCATCTTAGTGGAATACCATCTTGTCTTAACTATTCTATTTTAATATTTAGTTTTGTTACATTGTACAGACAGCTCTCCATGTTGTTTCTCACACTTGTCTAGTCATTCTTGGCCTTTGCATTTCCCTGTAAATATTAGGAATATCTTGTCATTTCCCACCAAAAAAACATGTTAAGGTTTTGATTGGGTTTGTGTTGAATGTATAGGTCAGTATATGCACACTTCACATCTTTGCAATACTGTATATTCTAATTTCAGAACATGGTGTTTTCTATTTCCTTAGGCTTCATTTAATTTCTTTCAGTAATGTTTTACAGTTTTTTGTTTAGAAGGCTTGCCCATCTTTTATCAGTTTTATTCTAGTGCTAGTTTTTTCTTATTACCGAAATGGGCATATTTAAAGAAATATTTACCTTCTTGCTGTTTGTTACTGGTATGTATGTTTTTGTTTTCTGTGTCATTAATTTTGCTCTTATATTTGTTTACATCCTTGTACTTTCTTTGGGATTTATTGGCTGGGTTTTTTTTTCCTGCTTTCGAATGGATATTTAGTCCTTTGTATATTTTTAGCCTCCCTTTTCTGTTGTATGCAGTTTAGTCATGTATATTTTCCTCTTATCATTTTCCTGACTTCAGCTGTGTTCCACACGTGATATGTTGATATGTTGAGTTTTTATTACCATTTCATTAACAATATTTTCTAGTTTCCATTGTGATTTCCCCCTTCACCTAAAGGTTCTTTAGATCTTAACAATTGCCTAAAGAAATGTTAGAAATAAGTAGCTCTGTTCTACAGCATATCTTCTTTCCGCTTTAACAACTTACGTTTGTTTTTGTTGCTTGCTGACTGACAAGTAGTTCATTTCTTTACTGTGTGTAGACGAATCTTAACTTAGGTCTTAAAGAATATAAATAATTCATGAAACTATGTGAAGTATTCTTATTATAATTATATTTTTCTTTTAGTTTGTATAGCTTTCCCAACTAATTAATGCTAATTAGTATTACTAATTATTATTAGTAATACTAATTAATACTAATATTAGTAATAGTGATTAAATAAATGTATGAATAGCGACCTTTGAGTTTTTCTCCTTTCCTGCTTTGTAAAAAGAATATCTCCTCAAATTTGTGGGGTTTTGTTTGCTCAGTTGTACATGTATTCTTTCATTCAACATTTATTAAGTGTCTCATTTTCGATATGCTCTGTTTTGTGTTAGGTGTTGGAAGAACACTGTCCTCACTTTCTAGGTCATTTAGTCTGATAGGGAGGCCATCATTTTTTTATAAGGCAGTAACTGATATTGTACGTGTGAGTTGAGGTACAACAGAGGCCACAGAAATGGTAATATTTAACATTTTTCAGGAAATGAAGTAGTTTTCAGGTCATCACTAAATGCCATTTACATGGTTCCTTGATGCGGAAAGAAACTTCGAGGTCTAACTAAAATATGAGTTAAAATATTCATTTTTATTATACAAATTATGGATGTTAATTGTTTCAGCGTAGAGTTGAAATATAACATTATTTTAGTTGTTTTTAGGAGCTGTTTCTCCTTTGGAATGGCATTGTGTTAATTTGTAAACTTGCATATAGATAATTAATATTTTATATTACTCTGCAGGATCAAAGAATTCCATCGGACATGGTATTTCTTAGGACCTCAGAGAAAGCAGGTACTTTTATTCTTATTGCTGATGATCGGTATTTTGGCAGTTTAATTTTCATTTTGAAAGATAAAAGTTAAATTTATTCTTGTAAGAATTTTTCTTTGAATGATAATATATTGAATTCATTAATTTCTAAATCACATTTAACTGTTTATGTTTAAAACAATGATTTTACTGTGTAATATGTTGGTTTAAAAAATATCCTTTCCTATATCAAGTGAAAGTTTTCATTCGAATCCATTTTGATATCTAAATAGATGGTGATGTTCCTCAAAACTTGATTGCTATTCTGCATTTGCACTTTTATTTCTCATTCAGCAAACATTTATTTAGCACTTACTATATGCCAGGCACTACCTGTTGCTTAGAATACAAAAGGGAGTAAAACCAAGTTGCTCTCTTCAGAGAGTTTATGATCTACTTATTTATGGAAGTACACACATTGACAATTAGCAGTACTCTGATTGTATAGATAGTATAAATGTTAAAAGGCATGTGGAGGGCTTTGCTGGTGGCGTAGTGGTTAACAGTCCTCCTGCCAATGCAGGGGACACGGGTTCGAGCCCTGGTGTGGGAAGAGCCCACATGCCGTGGAGCAACTGAGCCCGTGTGCCACAACTACTGAGCCTGTGCTCTGGAGCCCGTGAGCCACAACTACTGAGCCCGCGAGCCACAACTGCTGAGCCCGCGTGCCACAACTACTGAGCCCACATGCCACAACTGCTGAAGCCCGTGCGCCTGGAGCCCGTGCTTTGCAACAAGAGAAGCCACCACAGTGAGAAGCCCACGCACCACAACGAAGAGTAACCCCTGCTTGCCACAACTAGAGAAAGCCCGCGCACAGCAATGAAGACCCAATGCCGCCAAAAATAAATAAACAAACAAATAAATAAATAAAAGACATGTAGGGGTAATGGGAGGGAACAGACAGTTTGCCTAGGTGAGTTGAAATGGGCTTCACAGAAAAAATGATACTTATATGACCAGAGCTTTAAACAATAAGAAGAAGGTGCAAAAGGGGTAATGAGAAGGAAGCCTCATGTGGTCAAGGAAAAAAAATCCATTGGTTGGAAATCAGGAAACCTAAAATCTAGTCTGCTTTGACCAATTTCTAATTATATGACCTAGCCACGTGGTCATACATTTTCATCATCTCTAAAATGATGAGAGGTTTGTCAAGTAATATCCAAAGTTCCTTCTGCCTTATATTTCTGACTTTGTTGCATAAATGAGCAATATTTTTATGGGAAGCTCAGCATATGTATTATTATTTGTAGCATGAAAACTCTAGAAAGGACATGGTTAAAATTTAGAGTTGTTGATTTAGTTTTTTGTCCATTTACAAACAGTGGGGGGTTTTTCGTTGTTTTTTTGTATTTTTAAAAAAATTTATTTATTTGGCTGTGCCGGGTCTTATTTGCGGCATGCGGGATCTTCATTGCCACATGCGAGGTCTTAGTTGTGGCACGCAGGATCTAATTCCCTGACCAGGGGTCGAACCTGGGCCCCCTGTGTTGGGAGCGAGGAGTCTTAATCACTGGACCACCAGCAAAGTCCCTAAACAGCGTTTCTTTAAAAGGACATTTTAAGTCATGAGAGAGAAGAAAAATGTTTTCTCTTTTCACCAACTGTAGTTATGATTACTTACATCGTAAGATGAGGCTGCCATTAACAGCAGAATTCAGTTATACCTAATAATCAAGTGACCTCTGTACCCTTGATACCTTTACTTTATTGTGTGCTGTTTAATGTGTGGTTTTGTTTTTCCCATAGGGTGGAGACTGGAGAACTACTTTTCCAGTCCATTTCCCTTTCCTGTCCAGTTAGATGGGGCCATGCCCTGAGGTATGGCCGAAGGAGGGTGGCTGAAAGTCATGTGTACCACTTCCAGCCTCGGCTTTCCCTGTACTGGCTATGTGTCCATGACCAGGGTAACCTTGGAAGCTGCCTGTTGAAGATGGCAGAGCTTCCCTCAGTTTAGGTTCCTTCATGTCTGTGTGGAACAGACTCCCCTCCCATTCTGTCACCAAGTGGACTCTGTATGACAGAGAAGTATTATTAAGTACCAGAGTTGCCAGGTTTATCTTTTACAAATAGCTAGTGTTCCCTTAACACCTGCAGAGCTGTGTCAGGCAGTTAAAACTCTGCCTTTGCCTTCACTTGCTTGTACAGAGCCTCAGAGTCAGCCAGGTGTGAGAGATTCGGGCCTCTCGGGTTTTCAAGGGCATTGTGTGCAGCCCTGCACTGGCAGGTGGCCTTCTAGGCTCTCGGGAATATGATAGAGCTTTTGCTCCTTGTTATCTGATTTTTCTTTTACATTTTTTTGGTCAGCTTGTTGTTTACCCCAGCTTTAACCACCACCCAAGGTAGCTGTGACATTAAACAATGGCCACTCTTTGTTTTTGACAAACATTCCAGGGAAAACACATTCTCAGTGAATGAACTGTGGGTTGAGTCAAATCCAGACAAGCTCTACCTGGTCAGGTGGTTACAGTTGTCTGGGCGTGGGGTTTGGGGAGTCCTAGCCCTGGTTTCTTCCCCTCAGTGGCTACCAGACCATTGGTTTGCTCAGCTACTGTGGAGTTTGACTGGGGGCAGGGTACTGGAAAAGGGACAAGTCAAAACACCACACATCTCACTCATAGCTAGATTTAGCCGTGTTTCTTGAATAAATGCACCTGGGATTGTTGCAAGTCTTTGATTATTTTCCAGAGTTTTGCAAAAGTTGCTTTAGACAATTTTTGCTTATGTTGTCATTACAGTTATGGAGGAATGGGTTTTCAGAGATTTTTACACTGCCATCCCTACTTATTTATGATTTCTTTGTCTTTGTTTGTAAATGTATTCAGTATAATGAATAACAAACAGTTTGCATTTGGGAGATACTTTTTTTTTCTTTTTTGGCTGCACCACTCGGCATGCGGAATCTTAGTTCCCCACCAGGGATCGAACCCGTGTGCCCTACACCGGAAGCACAGATTCTTTTTTTTTTTTTGCGGTACGCGGGCCTCTCACTGTTGTGGCCTCTCCCGTTGCGGAGCACAGGCTCCGGACCCGCAGGCTCAGCGGCCATGGCTCACGGGCCCAGCCGCTCCGCGGCATGTGGGATCTTCCCGGACCGGGGCACGAACCCGTGTCCCCTGCATCGGCAGGCGAACTCTCAACCACTGTGCCACCAGGGAAGCCTGGAAGCACGGATTCTTAACCACCGGACTGCCAGGGAAATCCCGGGAGATGCTTTTATATTTAATTGCCCTTGTAGTGATCATGGTAGGAATATATGTAAGGTTAAGAATATCATGCTCGATGTGGAAATGGCTTTAGGTAATTAACTTAGAAGAAGTAGAGTATACAGACTATGTGAGGAGATAAAGTGTGAGCAAATCCATCTCTTCAAAGCTGGAAGGTTGTTAAGAAATGTCCATTTTTCAGAGGAGGAATCTGAGGGCTAGTAAATGTTTGCTGAAGTTTTAGAAATTGTTCTTCAGCCATCGTATCATTGTTATGACGTAATAAGATAGCAAAACATGAAGAGAATATTAGAGAATTAGGCAAGTGAGATACTCTCTGATGTGCCAACTACAGATAAATAACGTTATATCCAAATTGATTATGTTTTAAAAATTTTTTTTTCCTCAAATTTTGCTTTGTATTCTATGTTGTAGGGACAGTTTCCCTCTGTAGGGTAATGATATTTAATATTTTGGAGGTCATGGGTCTTTCTGAGAATCTTAAGAATTATCACTTTGTTCCTCAGGAAAATGTACATAATACACACGTTTGCTAAATTTTTACTATTTAACATATTCCTGGAAGGTTATTAATGGCTCCAAGTTTAGGACCTTACTGTCATCTGTTTTAACCTGTGGTTCTATTCTATTCCTCAGTTTTATGATTTTTTTCTGTCAAATTTAAATTGTTAAAACAATTACTGTTACTCTTATGGAGATACTAAAATGTCAGATTACTGTTTCATGATATTTTTCTTCTCTTTATAAAATGGACCAGACAGCTTCCCAGCTGTGTAAAATGTGTCATAACACTGCTTTCAATCAAGGATTCTTAGCTTTAGAAATTCGTGTGACTTTACATAATTATTTAAGGTTTTAAATTAAAGCCTTGTTTTTAAACATACATGTTTAGAATTTTTTGTGTATCTGCTAACACTGTTAATATTACTTTATTATTTTTCAGTTTCAGTTCAGAAAACCCTGGTAATACACTGTCTGTTATAGTAAGAATCTCTAAACCCTAGCCAGTGTGAAAGTCTTAAATCTACGCAGCGTGTTGAGTTTGGACAATAGCCACTGGGCGTTTGTCAGTACAGCTCAGTGAGTCTCTTCGCGGCATCATATTGACTGTGTATTAATACAGGGTATTCTGTTGGGCCGTCCGTTGATTGTTTAGAATGTAAATGAAGCTGTTGATGGATCTGGTGACTGATGGCTTAAATTCCAATTAATCAATTGCTTCATCAGTTTCTTAATTCAGATCAAATATCTCCTGAATGCACACAATTCTTTTAGTGGTATTAAGAGAAATTAATGCTTTAGAACTAATTTTCATCAATCTCTTATAAATGCCAGTATCTTTTTCACTTGCCTCCTAAGTGGTGGCATTATCGTTTAAGTGTTGGGGACATACTACAGTAGCTCAGCTGTCACTTGTTAGAGGGCGGGGGGCGGGTAAGTGACACTGTGCTCATCCACATTCTCTCTGCGGTGCTCTTCATCTTGCCACCAGCTTAAAAATTTCATGCAGAGTCACTAAGTCGTATAAATGATTGAGAACTTAAGTTTAATGGCAAACGATCTGGTGTTATATATGCAAAGTCAATGTCTATTTTTCTTTTCTTGGGCACATACTGTAGCCTGTCTCTTTCAGACCTATTGGATTTGTGAGCTGTTGCAGGCAGTCTGCTAATATTACAGGGTAACTTATTACAACGTATGACAGACTCACGTGCCCTGTCTCACAGTGTCCCATCAAGTACTTTATCACCACTT